GCGATGGAGTGGCGATGGATGGGCGACCTGTCCAGGGTGTACCCCGCCTTTGCCCGATTGCCGGCCGGGATTGGCTGCGCCCCCGTGACCCCGCAAGGGACTAAACGGTAGAAAATGAATGCTTCAAAAACATTTCACCAGCACTCAAAATCAAACAATGCTTTCAGATCATACACAAATGAGTCAATCATATACACACTGCAGCTCAGTCATTAGACACTACATCAAAAAAAGGAGAACACAGCATCCAGGACATGTAGTTACAACAAAAAAAGTTTATTGTATAGTGAATTTACCAAAAATCATGTTACGATAGAAGAAGAAGGAAAACACATCAGAAAGATTATTCTGCCTCAGGATCACGTCTTTGAGCTGGGCCCGGCCAGAGGGCTTCATCTAAGTCGCCGGCAATGTTGTCCCTTGCCAGGCAATGGGCAAAAAACCCTCTGGTGTGGTGGATCCAGCCTTGACAAGACTGCATGTCTATGTCACTGCAGGCCAGTTCCATTGCCTGTAAGAGATTTTCCCTGGTATATGGGTTTTGGTCATAGACTTTCCACCGCCATGCAGAGAAAAACTCTTCTGTTGGGTTGAGGACAGTGCTGTATGGTGGAAGGACCACATTCTGTTCCTGGTCTTACTCTTCCTCGTCCTTTTTGTCCAACACCTGATATTCCTCTACCTCTCATATTGTTATCCATAGTTGATGGATGTACCCGTGCCATCTGTGCACTTTGAACTGGCATCAGCCATCCTGCATGGTGTGGTCTGTTGGAGCAGCAGCATTACAGAGAGGGAGAGGAAGAAGCTGGATAAGGTTATTAAGAACCAGACCAGACCATCTGCTCCCTCTCAGACACACTGAGCAGTTTCACAATACCAATCAGAATAAACTAAATCATAAAGCAAAGCAATGGAGTAATGTTATCTGGCCTGGAAAAGAGAGTGTGAATTGGCAGAGACCGACCCTAACCAAGTGCAGGATCAGTGAGCACAGACACCAGTGCACTGCGATGTCATATAGTACGCGAGAACACGCTGTTGCAGGACCGAGCACGTCAAGGTCCCCTGGTTTACTGGAATGAACCTCTTGGTTATTTAATTGATGAGACCTCACCAGTCGTAAAGCAGTTTGGTTCTATACTGTATGACTTCGCTAATGATTTAAGATTACAGAGATTCACCAGATTAGCGGGCTCCGTCAGAGCATTCAATGATTAAGGAAAAAGCAGATGTCAAGATCACTGGGTATCAAATAGATGCGGAGCGACTGTTCAACACAACATGCGCTTTCCGGTGCGCGAACATTTAGACTTTAATGAAGAAGCATTCAAACACCTGGATAAACGTGTGTACAAGGACCTCTGCAAAAAATTCAGCAACGAAAACACGTTGTTTTAGTTGTTTCTGAGAGGCACATCAGTTGGAGAGTAACATCGCCCACACTCTCAAAAAGCACATGACTAACCCACCAAAGAAAGGCAACAAGATCAGCAGGTTCTTTTCCAATGTGCACAAGTCCATCTGCAAGCACTTCCGGAAGTAGTTTGTCTTAGGAAAAAGCATTTCCTGGTGTTTTGGGTTTACTCCGGGTACTCCGGTTTCTTCCCATTTAAAAAACATTTAAATCATCACTCTAAATTAACTGACTGATTAATAACTGATTAGACCTTACAAATAAATTACAAATTAAAATTCTGACACACAGAAAGTCTTAAGTCTTAAAACTCGAAAGCATGGACACCCAAACATTCCACCCATTTGTGATGGTGTGTGGACAGGAGTGTCCACATACTGTTGACTACACTATAATATTGTGTCAATAAGCAGACAGCCTCATGGTGTGGAGCATTTATTCAAAGATCACTGGGAGGAGAATGCATATTGTTGGCCATGTACAGTGAGCAAATGTCAAAGAGAAGAAAAGTGAGAAGCTGATCATTCACATACACAGTATAAACACACACAAATGCATCACGTCCCACATCCCCCGGTGCTTTATCATTCATTTCACTGTGACTTTACTTCATTTTAAATAATTAAGTGCTATGTCAGATTTGTTCTGAGCCAGAGTGGACCAGTGAGATGGAATCGGGACAATCTTTGTTTGGGCAGACTTTTCCTTCACTACCACAATAGTTTTGTATCAAAAAAATTCTGTTAATTCTTCAGAAATTTAGCAATTTAGAATTAATACCTAACAGAATAATAGGGCCATTTGTAAATCAAATCAGAATATTTTAAGCAACAATTATAAGAACAAAGTTGCAATTCTGAGAAAAAAGTCATTACAAAGTAATTATTTTGAATGTGAACAAAAAGTGACAATATTACTATATGAAATCTTACAAGTACCACACTTAGAGTAAAAAAAACATCATACAGTGGGGCAAATAAGTAATACTTATTTCGTGCAATAAAATGGAAATAAATGATTTGAAAATCTAACAATGTGATTTTTCTGGAGTTTTTTTTGTAGATTCTGTCTCTCACAGTTGAGGTGTACCTATGATGAAAATTACAGAACTGTCCATATTTCTCAAGATATGACTTTTCTTCTCAACATGACTACTTCATTCTAATCTTACAACTTTTTTGTCAAAATATGCCTTTTCTCCTAACGTATTTGTTTCCAAATTACAACTTAAACCTAATATTATGATTTTTTTAAAGTGCTGAATCCTTTTTTAAAGACTACAATGTAATTCTCTCAATATAATGCCTTTATTCTCAAAGTATTTGAACTTTATTCTCATAATCTTTTTCTCTTCTTACTTTTAGTTCTTCTTCTAGATCAGTGTTTGATGAGTGGCCCTAATATTGTGGCATCACCTAAACAACCCAAAGCAGACACATGTATACAGTGTCTTCAAATGTCAACAGCTTACATGTTCCTAAACATTTACTGATCAAATGGTTGTTGATGAAAACAGAATCCCTGAGTTAGTTTTCAGGTGAAAAGGTGACTTTTCTTTTGCAGACAGCTTAAGTTGTTCTTCACCTTCTTTTGTTGCATAAACGATGAAGGATCAAATGTAACATTATGAAAGCTGGAGCAAACGTTTCAAAATGAATGCAAAGTCCAATGATGTTAAAGAGAAATTTTGAATAAATAAAAAAAATGGACATAATAACAAACACATTTTGTAAAAACCAGTGTGCATAAAAGTGCTTGTAAAGGAAAAACAATTCTAACTTTTCTTTTTATGCTGCTTGTAGCTAAGATGAGTTGTGAATGTGGCAACAATGCAGAATGACAGAGATAACATATCTCATTATAATGAATTAGAGAGGAGGACGTCCTTCTCCACTGTAAACAAGGAATTAAATACACTAATCTGACCTCACTGACTGCACGCTGGCATTCATTGTCTTTAGCAGTAACATCAAACACAGTCTCTTTCTATTGGCTGTACAGAAGGAAAGCTGGGGCTAAGTACATTTTTGGGGACAAAGTGCTGCGTTGTATTCAGATAGATTATCGTAAAACTAATTCAGTTCGGCCTCGCCGAAGACTGTTCCTACCTTCCTGAGAGCATTAGACTCTAGCCCCAACCAGAAACAAGCCCCAGGCCCCTTCCTGGATGGGAAAGATAACTGGTAGACAAGAAATATATGATTACAGATATTTCATTGAGCCATTCAAAACAACAAGTCCAGGTACTCACTGTGTGTTGAAGGAACTGAACAATGCATGAAGGAGTTCTAATGTCTAAAGCCCCATTTCTGGTATTAGTCCCCACTTATAACAGAAAATGACTCAGCACAATTCAGTTGTGTTCTTGTAAAATAGCTCATGCTAGAAGCATCAAGTGACTCCTTAAAAAGCTAGCTAACAAACTACTGTAGCCACCGAGCTAGCCAGAAATATGCACTAGCAGCCACAAATGCAATCTTTCCTCTGCCCCCAGGAACCGTCCTATACCCATACTGTACCGGGGTCTATGTGTTTCCATTGTCTTAGAAGCAGAACGTGCCCATGCTGAAACCGTGCTGAACAGCAGGATACCTGGCCCTACCCAGAAGCAGGGCCCAAAGCATGCTGTTCCACCATCAACCCGGCCGTCTATGTCACTCCATTGTGATTGGCAGAGAAAATTAAGCAACAGGAAATGTCTCAGCTGAAGAAGGAGAGAGAAAGAAGAGGAAAGCAGTGCATTATGAAGAAATAAAAGGAAACCAATACAACAGCTATGTCTGGAATCTATGTTTTCTCTGTTATTTGCCTACAGAAGACACTACAGTGAGATATTCTGTAAAAGCAACGCTCCTGCTGTGCAATGGAAACACAACCATGTATTGGGACCTGGGCCAATAGGTGGCCAGGTGGCTTGAATACAGGATGGTTCCTGGTGGCAGTGGAAAGACAGCAAAAGTGAAAGTGGATCTTGTGGGGTTTCCAATTCATGGAAGCTTTCTTTGTATGCTCTAGAAAATGATCAAGCTTTGTTAGCTACAGGGGCAGGAATGTTTCATGTATGCTATGTTTTAATGGTACGTACAGATACTTGGTGATAGCTGTTAGGATTTGGTAGGTATATCTGCACAATGCTCGTTCTGTGCATCCATACAAATGTACATGCACAGATGTGAGTAGTAATCTCTTAAATCCCATGAGGTCCTCAACTAATACTGATCCTTTAAAAATAAGGCTTTAGATTCAAGCGAGTGCCTGGACTTTGACTTTTTAGGCCATGACATTTTTAGGTTGTGTCTTTTCCTCTGTGGCAGTCGCTCCCTGCCACTTTAAGCATACTTGAACTCTTGGGTTCAGATTTAAAGGCAAATCCAGTCTTTGTCAACTAGGGTCTTACCCTCATATTTCTATCCATTACAAGCTGGTTTTATAAGTTACCCAGCACCTGTTTGTAGAGAATAGGGATATCTGACAAGAACAAAGCCAAAGAGGGCAAAGAGAGACCATGTTTGACAAATGTCTGAATTTCCCTTAGAGAAAGAAAGTGGAGGGCTGTTTCTGAACAGGGGCCATGTGAGGAGCAACAGATGGAAGCCCTTTCTAAGTGCCAAAGTGTGCTGGACTGGGAGCCAGCTCAGTGTGTCCGTGCTCCTGGGGGCAGAAGCAGTCATCAGAGTGGATGAAATGCAGGGTGGTCTGGGTGTAGCTGAGCAGGGTCTGCTGCTTCTCCTCCGGACTGTAGTACAGAGAGTGGGGGTGTACCTGCTGGATGTGCCTCTTGATGGTGCTGACCTTCAGCGTGGCCAGAGTGGCTCCGCACACCATGCATATCAGCCCATGTCTCCTGCAGTCATAGTCCATCAGGTACTCCATCCGCCAACGCACCTGGTAGTTCCTCCTCTGGTCCTTCCCGGGGTAATGGCTGTGGCGAGCAAGTGTGGCGCTGCTGTCCCTCGCTTTGCCCTTCCCTCCACTCACACCCTCCTCCTTCTTCACCATTTTACTGGCTGTTCTAACATCAGGGAAGACGTCCGCATTCGTCCCATCTGTAGTAGCTTCACGACGCCTGATTTCTGCTAAAAGAATAAATAAATGAGAGGAACATGCAGCTTGAGTTAAACTACCTCATTTTAATATTCTTGTCCATTTCCTCAGCCACAAACAAAGCTGCCCTTCTTATACAGCAAGTTACAGTATTATATTTTTCTGTCTTTAATTTACAATATGTTAAAATTTGTATGAAATGGATTCTGTTGTATCATTGAAAGTGAAACAACAAACTGCATTCTAACTCCAACTAGGACACACTTTAGCCATCCTATTCACTCATATCAAATTATTCTGTCAGCTACAAACACTATTAGCTACAAGTTCTCAAGGAATTGTGCCTTTATTAAAATTCTCATATACTGTACATGCGCAATAGCTGGGTCAGTAAGCTCACAGGTATGACAAAATCAGTGTAATGTACATTTACATCAGTCATGTCCAGGGGCGGCTCTGGAAAATTTGGCATGGGGTGGCCAGGCTGGGGCACAGACTCAGAGAAGGAAACATATGTCAAAAGTAAATCAAACCCCTAGTTGTATGAAATAAATAAGCATACATGATTAAGAATCTAATTGTTAAGTTTGTGTAAAAATGAGACACACAGTACTTTCTTTAGCTAACCCTCACCCCTAACTGAGGCTATTCATAACAAGTTTTCTCAGCAACAAAATTGGAGAAATAAATGTAAAGATCATGCTGCATGCATGATATTAAATAAAAATAACTTGACCAATATCAATTACTATAAAGCCCCAGAGAAATGTTACTTGTGTGCAATTTAAGGCAACAATATGTCTTTGTTTTTCATTTTTCATTCACTAAAACTAACAAACATCACATCTTGACTCTGGCCACACCCTTAGCTCCGCCTATGATCCTGTCATTCTCACCACTCTGATATGAGTCTTGGTTTTACACAGACATACAATTTTTATTCACTCATCTATTCCACTCACTTCTACTTGACAGATGTTTAAATTGCCATCAGACACTTCCTGCAGATGTTTCATATTAAAAGCCTGCATGAACCTTGACACCCAAAGTCTGATTTCTTAAAAAACTAGCTAACTAACTAAAACATAAAAACACTTGTGGCTGTTTTAGAAGGATGCATTTTCAATATTACATGGCTTCAAGAATTAACTTGTTTTAAGTTGCCTTGGACAAAAACAACTACCAAATAAATGCAAGTATAAATCTAAGTTGAAAGCTTTAAATGAAATGTGAAATATCTGTGCAGGAAGTCTTGTTGATACAAGCTTAACACCTGCACCAAAATGGAAATGTAGAAGCTACTAGAAATTATAAAAGTGGATTAAAAACTATTTCTTTTAAATAGAGAAGAAGAGGCATGGAATTATTGCTGTGGAAATGTAGATTATTCTGATTTTATCAAGTCAATGGGAGAACACAGAGAAATGGTTAATTCTGCATTAATAGAAAAGTAAAACAGCAGATCAGAATGAAAAATTAAGTAAAATAAGGAATGAAGCTCTGTCTCTAGTATAAACTAGGTCTCTCTCATATAATAAAGGTGACAATTTAAGAATTTACAGTTTTCCAGTAGTAAAAACAATAGCTAAAGTCATCTCACCATCTTGAATTTGCAAGCCTTCACTAGAATAATCTTTGGTCCAGGCAGCAGCCATGGCTTCCCTTTCTTGTCGGCTCAGGGTTGTGGTCTCAGGGTGACACTCCTGGATGTGGCGGCGGAAGCTGCTAACCTTGGTTTCGCACAGGACCTGAGAACACACCATACAGAACGTACCCCGGCCCTGAGGACCGTAGGCCACCAGGTAGTCTAGGCGGAGGCGCCATGGGTCACCCTCACGTAGCCGCTTCTTCCTGGGCTGGCGGAGGGGCTGGGGTCCCTCTTGTTGAGCTCCGACGCCTCCGTCCTCACCAATAAGACAAGTATCCTGAGTGAAAGTGCCATCACCTTCTGGGTATAAGTCAGTGTCCATCTGGATGGCCTCCGCATCCTGAGCAAAGGCATCCACCCCGCCTTCTTTGGTGTTGGACTCTGATTTGTTTTCTGAGTCCTCTGTTAAGGGGCAGGGAAACATAACATGTAAAAGATTAAAAAGATGTTAAAGATTGTCAGGTCCGCTCGGCGCGACCTGCCTCTCTTCCACCTTTCTCTCCCCTGCTCTCTCAACCTGCGGGATCTGCACCTCAGCTGTGTTGCATTCGGTAATTAGCGACTCGGTTGTCAGTGTGCACAGCTGGGGTGCATCCCGATGATTACCTTCCTCCTTATTTATACCTCTGGCAGACGCTCCATCTTTGCCGGAGGATTAACAGAACTTACACCAAAATACCTGTATTGATGGTATGTATGATACATCATTTTGATTTCCGCGCTGACAGTTCCTGTGCTGTGGATCTCTTTTGTTGTTCACCACTCTCTTATTTTTCACCTATCCATCCTGTTCCTCCTACTCTCCTGGTTCCTGCCGTTAGTCTGTCTACTCCCCTGGTTGTCCTGGTCTCCTCAGCCGTCTTTGCCCAGCCCTGGCTGTATGTATTCATTGACTCTGTTCCTTTTTGTGATTCCCACCATTAAAACCACCACTTTCACCAGCACCTGGGTCAGCACTCGAGTCCTACCTCAGTTCTCCCTCATCCTCCTGGTGAGGGGGACTAACCCTAACAAAGATGGCCTTTTTGGCTCCAATGAGGCTTTTACACTGTGCCTATGTCAGAAGCTCATGGACTGTTTGAATGATCCAACCAAAGAACCATTATAGAGGATACTGTTCAGGAGCTCCTAAACTCAACAGCCCACAGACTGTGGTCAGGAGGCAGTGTTGGAAGATTCAAGAGGGTGATGGGATGTACAGGGTGCTCAGCTCAACCTGTTACCATGGCAACATGGATCCAGATAAGCAATAATAAAAAGGCTTGTTGGTGTTGGACGAGTGGATTTGTGCTTGTGATGTCAATTTCAAAGACTGATGAGACTAAATGAGAACGTAATTGTGTCAAACCTTACATTATCTGGGTCTGTAGGGCCCCACAGTCACGTACTTAGAGCTGTTTTTCTTTACTCTGTCTATTTTTAAGAGGCTGGAGAACCACTTTGGATAAAATGTGCTCAGTGTTTCCCCAGTGCCAACCACACCTTTTTTTTAATTCAGGGTATGTCCATACAAATGCTGAGTCATCCGGATCACAGTAAGCTGAAAAAATGTATAAAAAATTATCTGGACTTGGTTTTAGGTAGAAGATGTTTCACCTCTCATCCTAGGGGCTTCATCAAAAGGTATTTATCCCCTATGTGGGGTTCCAGTCCTTTGGTGGCCAACAATGTCCTCTAACGAGCCCTCACACGTGGACCGATGCCTGTTGTCCTGGTGTGAATTAAGGTGGAAATGTTTGCAGAGATTTCAAAACAGGATTGTAGATGGATGACAAGTTGTGTCTTAGTCCACCACCCCTATTTAGTGAGGGGTGTTCTACTTTTACAAAAATAGCTTCCTTAACTCCTCTCTCAAACCAGCGATGTTCTCTGGAGAGAATCTGGACTTCACTGTCCTCAAAAGAATGTCCTTTGTCCTTCAGGTGGAGGTGGACTGCTGACTCTGGTCCACTGGAGTTGGCCCTCCTGTGTTGGGCCATGGGTTTGTGAAGCGGCTGCTTAGTTTCACCAATGTACAAGTCGTTACACTCCTGACTACACTTAATGGCATACACCACATCACTCTGTTTATGTCTGGGTGTTTTGTCCTTCTGATGGACCAGTCTCTGCCACAGGGTGTTCTCTAGCTTAAAGTTGAGGACAAAGCCCCGTCTTCCTTCACTGGTACCACTCCCAGTCACTTGTTCCGCTACATGGAGAGAGGAGTCAAAGAAGCTATTTTTGTCCAAATAGAAGACCCCTCTCTAAATAGGGGTGGTGGACTAAGACACAACTTGTCATCCATCTACAACTCTGTTTTAAAATCTCTGCCCACACGTTCCCACCCTAATTCACACCAGGACAATAGCTGTCAGTCCACATGTGAGGGTTCAAAGACAGGTAATGACTCTCACTGATACCGGGCTATAACGAGTCAGTCGTTAGGGGACATTATTGGCTAA